AAAAAAAAAAAGTAAACTGTGAAATGGAAATTCATGGTTTTATATTGAATTCTCATTTTATGTTGTGCTTTGTACATGGAAATGTTCTATTTGTTCTTTCTGTATTTCTGTATTTTTTCTTTCTGTATGTTCAAAATGAATAAATATAATTAAAAAAAAAACGCAGGTCACTTAGTTTGTTACCAAATAAGAGGATAGTATCATGGACTTCTTAAGCTTTCCTGTCCAGGTTCTCTTTCAGTATCTGATCAAATCTCCTAAGTGCCCTTTCTGTGTTTTTGTTTTCTCTTCTTGTTCCATGGCAAGGGTTTCCTCACTTTCACAATTTCTCCATGTTGCCTTTCTTTCTCCTAACCAATAAGAAGAGGCAGCTCTCTCTCCTTTTACCTCACCTGAGTAATGTCTACTTGGTGTCAAGTCCCTAATATATACAATCCAGGACCTACAGAACTATTGACCAGAATTTGGAAAGCATCAGCTCCGTAGAAGGGATGTGGGAATATATTGATACAATTAAGTCAAGGGAGTCTTACATAATGTCAATTTTATACATTTTAGTTAATCTTGTGTGTGTGTATGTGTGATAGAGACAGACAGACAGATACACACACACAGAGACCAACAGAGACAGAGACAGAGACACAGAAAAAGAGCTAGGCAGAGGCAGAAAGAAAGAGAGAGAGGCAGAGAGGCAGAGAGACAAAGAGAGGCATTAACTCCATGAGTGGGTTGCTGTTGGGAAGGTTGCCATGGTGAGGGGTGGGCTGGGCTGGAGCTAGGTGACAAGGCACTAACCTGGCTTTGTAGCTGCAGTGTGGAAGGAAGTATGCCATCTGGTCACTTTCCTGTTTTGACTAAGTACTCTTGCTAACTAGAGGGCATGCAAGTGCTGTTAGTGCTCTCGAAATTTCACCACCTCTGGGACAAAGCCCCACTTCCCCCAAACTAACTGTAGCCTTATCCTTCAGAAATGAAACACATATTTAAGGAGTTGTGGTATTCTGGCTTTAAAAGCTTCTGTAAGATTTTCCATTTCTCAAAGTCATTGGATCTGGAGGATTTGACTATCACCAACTTGGAACACTTGCCAACTAACACTGTTGTCTAATTCAATAAATAATAACCGTAAAGCTCTTGTTGACCCCGATGCTGTCATTTGTGAGCTTACTCTTGCTGGCTCTGAGAGAAACAATGATTAATCGAAAAAAGAATGGAATGATCTTGGGGCAGTCTTTTCCCCTGTGGATGTGTGTGACCTATAGGATCCTAATGGCACCAACGTCAGCCACAGTGTATAAAAACTGATCTCTCTGAAAGAACAGAATAAAATTGCCAATAAAAAGGGATCTATGGGAAACCTTGTAGGTTTCTTTGGGAGGGGATAAAAAAAATACATCCATTACTGCCGGCAACAGCCTTTTAAAAACACAGACCAGGAAATCACAGCAGTACCTGTTTTATGGAATTTAATAAGAGTACAGAATGTGTGGGCTAATATACAGCTGGAAAGGATAACCAGCCAGGTCCATTCAGTATCACTGAATGGGCTTCATTCATCAAAGAGATGAAAGGTAGAGGGATTTTTAATAATATGAAGATAAATGTTCACTTGTAGTGCCACAGGGATTTCAATGGGGCCTCCCATCTAGGGGCTCATGGGTTAGCTACTCCTGTGGAGCCAACATTCTAACTGGTCTTTGTGTCTAAAATCCATGTTCAGCTTGTACAAACTCTCGAAAAATGGATTTTTCCTCCCCTGGGCTCTGAAGGCTTTGGGGGCAGAGAAGACAAAAGGCATTTCTAACCGTAGAGGCTGCTGAGTGCTTTCTTTAGAAGAAAAAATATGCCTTTCCATCTTAGGTGCCAGCGAGGACTTTGGATATTCATTCATACCAGAAAGGGATGAAACAAAAGAAGCTCCCACAACTCTACCTATGCCTTTAAATTGTCTTGCCTCTTCTGGGGAAAGCCAGATCCAATCTAATACAATTCAACAAATATTTGTTAAGCACCCACTAGGTATATGGAACCGCGAGGTGTTAAAGAGAAAAGCCTCTGTCCTCAAGGAATTAACATTTTACTGGAGGTTACAGCATATCCACTAATATCCCTCTCTCTACACATGTGTATGGGTATATACACACACTTGCACATGTATACATTCTATACATATACATCCATAATACATGCACACACAGTTACACATATACACATACATATATACTATAATACATATATACACACATAGACATAAAATATGCATATACATGCATGCATGTACATCTATGTATACATATATACATACTATGTATACACATACATATATAAACAAATAATACACATAAGCTTATTACACCTCTCTCTTTCTCTGTGTCTCTCTCTCTCCACTCCTATATATGAGGAGGCAGGAGAGAATGCTAACAGTTGGGGAGATTAGGAAAGGCTTTCATAGACCCTTTTTACCCATCTTCATGCCCCTATAAGGCCTAGCACAGTGCCTTGGATAAAGCAGACCTTCAACTGTCTGCTGCAGCTCTGAAGGCAAATGTTACCCTCTGGGTAGAGACTTTGTCCTTGTTTCCTGACATTGAGATTGTTAAAATAATTTTTGCAATAAACTGTCCCTTGGCATTCAAAATTACTTCTTAGGAATGTTCCACATAGACAACCAAGCTACCATTGGCTTTGGTACCTTGGGCTGCCAGTAGATTTGAGCTGAGATACCTGTGACTGATCCATGGAATCCAAAGAGGAGGGTTCTTAGAGTCCCTGGTGCTTTGGTCGGGGGCATGCCCCACGTCTGCCACCACGTTAGACAGGAAGGTGCCTCTTCTCTTCTAGGACTGTTGTGCTGAGGTGACTATAAAAAACAACAGCCCTAGACACCTTTTTGATGCTGGCTATAGAAACCTAGCCCATCTCAGTTTAATGGAGAAAGAAAGTGCTAGAAAGTTTCCATTTGGACCAATTCTTCACAAAGCATCACTGTACACCACCTAATGGTCAACACTCCCTCCCCCACCAGGGTGTATATAATGTGTTTTTTTCTTGGATGCAGCCTTTGGAATTTTGCATCATTGAAGATAAGTTTCCATTATTGCTCTCTGCTTGTCTACATACATTTCTGTGGGATTGGAGGGAACTGAATTGGCCGCTGTTCATTAGAGCTAAATTCAGTTTATTCAGCATCTGAAAGTATGTCCTGAGTGCCTCCCTGTATCTGGTAAAGACCCCCACAAGGACTTAAAATAGAAGAGAGTTGAGTCTCCCAGATTTTGTGCTCTTTTTAAGTTGTATTTAAAAAATGGGGGAGATAGGGCATAAGCCTTCACTGGTACTGGGGAAGGCAATGGATCCTATTAAAAATTAACATATAAACATAAGTAAGGAAATTTATCTGCTCCATCATTTTATGCATCCAACTCTCCATGGCCCCATTTGGGGTTTTTCTTGGCAAAGATACTGGAGTGGTTTGCCATTTCCTTCTCCAGCTCATTTTACAAAAAAAAAAAAGAAACTGAGGCAAACAGGGTTAAGTGACTTGCCCAAAGCTTAGAGATAGCTTCAAGAAATCTTCAGACTTCAAGAATTCTTTCTATGGAATTCCCACAAGTCCCTGTCCTCCTTAGTTCAGAAGTATTTCTATTACATTGATCAATCAACAAATACTTACTTAATTAGGGCTTTAATTAGGAGAGTTCCCTGATCAACTTGATATGATGACCCTGATCAACTTGTATATCTTTGTTAACGACCCAGTCTCTTAGGATTAGGGAACATCTGCCTGGCATGCCTTCAAAGTCTCAGATGATTAGGATAAGGTATTTGGCTCGGGCTGTTGTGGGTTGTAATTACACTTTTGTGTTGGGCCTATCTAGAAAGGGTCAATTACAGATACCCTTTTTTGAGAGATCCGGAGAAAACTGAGACAATCTAAAGACCAGAAACTTAAGAATGGCCTAGGGTGGGGGTAGAAGAGAAAGAAAGGGGACTTTTCTCTAGGGGCAGAGAAAAAGTGGTTTCACTCACTTTTATACATGCAACCAGTAAGTGTGCTGGTAAATGTTTAACAACTGACTTTCAAGAAAAAACATTACTCATGACACATTTTCAAGGATAATCAGCATTATTGACATTTTCTCTATCACTTTCTTAGGTCTGGACAATCAACAAAACACTATATTAAGCCCTGATTAATATCATTGTAACACTGGCATATTTCTGAGGCATAAACACTTAACACTGAAAATTTAACAACTGGCTCTCAGGACCTAGTTTGAGCTAACTCCAGCAAACGCCTACAATTTGGTTGGTTGTTGTCCTTGTTTATTGAAGAGGACCAAAATGACATCACTATGCCAGAGTACGGCGTATAATAAGTAACCCTAGAGCTAGAGGAGTGTGGAGCAAAAAAACATTTGGATTTTACTCTTCATTACTACCACATAATTTTCAAATGGTGCAGGCCCTGTGGGAATGAGGGTTGCCTTTCTAACACCTCCAAATGCATTTCCTTTGGGGAAGGAATGTAAGCCCTCAGGGTAGGTACCATAAGATTTAAATTTCAGGTGGTAGGGTGGCTCAGTGAATAGAGCACTGGGCCTGAGTCAGGGAGACTGAAGGTCATATCCAGCTTCAGACACTTAGTAGCTATGTAACCCCTGGACAGATCTCTTAGCCAGTGTCTGCCTCAGTTTCCTCAACTGTAAAATGGGGATTATAATAGCACCTACCTCTCAATGACAGGTGAGGATCAAATAAGATCCTATTTGTAAAGCACTTAGCACAGTGCCCGCCACAAAGTAGGCCCTTCAGAATGAAACTGACCAGAAAATTGGGGGTTGTCATTTTAGCAACACCAAGTTTGTTTCCTTTATGAGGCCAAACCTCAGGATGATATTCTAAGACTAGAGAAGTTTATGGATCACTGAGATTTTGATGATGGGACTTGTCAGAATGGCAGGAGGATTGTATTTGCTCTTTGCAGATTATTTTGTGGCTATTTGTGGGCAGAGTCTTTTCTGTGATTTCTGAACTTTCTGTGGGATGGAAGAGCTATTAGCTTGCATCCCTGTTAAGCACTGTTAACCTCAAGTGCTTGCCTGGATATTGGGAGCCTCTTTACCCATACCTGTGGAGATCTAGACATAAGTGATAAACTGAGATTTCCCAGTGGAAATTCTGAATTGGTGGGGGAGGGAAAATAAGTCAAAGACAGGAATTGGGGAAGAGGTCTCCCAGACCACCCCTCAGATTTGGGGTCATGGAGCCACAGGTTACAATAGTAAAAACAAACAACAAAATTTCTCAAAGAAAATCCAAATACATACCATGGAAAATAACAGAGTAAATGGAGGTACCTACCACATGATCACAGCTACCAGTCTCATAATAGCCTCATTGAGGCAATCAAAGAAATCTTTCAGTGCCTGTCCTTGCTCCTTCATATTCCCAATGACCAATCCAAAGCACATGGAGAAGACAACCAGCCCCAGGGCGTTCACTCCATTCACAGCCCCGGGTACGGGCACCATCTCCTCTTTCATACGGGTGAGGGTTTCCATGGCCTCTGAGACATTGCTTATCACAGAAGCTAAAATTGTTTCATTGGGCGACACAGGCACCTTAAAGCTTTTCTTCTCATAGTTGGTCTTAAACTAAAAGGACAAAAGAAAGCAAAACAAAAAAGAAATAAACAAGAGGAGGTAGGTGTACCATATAGAAATGCTATTCTTAGATTTAGAGTTGGAAGGGACCTCAGAGACCATCTAGATCCACCCATTTTCATTCCATCTCATCTTGAAGATGAGAAAACTGCATTTCACCCAGATTAAGTGACTCACTCAAGGTCACATGTATAGAGTCAGAGTTAGGATTTTAACCTAGGTCCTTGGACTACAGAGTCATTGCTCCTTCTACTGTACCCTGCTGTCTACCTTCTCTTCAAATGAGCCCTTTCTTCTTGCTTGTGACTTTGGAGAAGGCTACTGAACTACAGAATGTTAGAACTGGGGAGGGACTTTAGAAATCATCTAGTCTTCCATTTTATATCGGAGGAGTCTAGAGGCTCAGAGATATAAAATTACATGCTTGAGACCACAACAGCAAGCTAGCTGGTGGGGCTGAGCCAAGAACTCAGGCACTCGAGACTATTAATTCACTACTGACTCCATTTTGCTGAGTGATTCCTTTGGTGTTGTCTAAATGACACCACATCTATTTTTTCAAAGGGACCCATAACTAAGGATGATCCTTACAGGGCAGGAATGTGAAATAACAGCTGTAGAACTCTTCCTCAACCCTTATGTGACATTGATTTAAAACACAATCAGTTCCTAAAAGTCTGACCCCCTAGAACCCTTAGTCCTGTCACTTTTACCTTATGACCCTCCCTCTATCCAGTAGCCTGGAACCATGGGAATGTTGCTGGCTTGCTGAGTGAGCATACACTAGATTCTTCCTAATATTTTGAATTTGCAAGGTCTTCTAGCATCATTTTAAAGTATTCATTAATCTCTTAGGGTCAGACAGATTACTGTCATGGTGGCTTTGCCTTATTCAAGTAAGCCATGCAAAGGCAACAATGTACTGGTAAATATTTAATGACTGGTTCTCCCCTCAAAAAATGTACCCATAAGACACTTTTAAGTTCAATCTTCAAAATTAATATTTTCTCCATTACTTTCTTAAGCTACATAATCGAGAAAATAGCAAATTAAGTCTTGATTTGTAGGGGTTATTGATCTCTGAAATATAAATACACTGAAAATTTACCAATTGGTTCATGAGTCTATTCGAGTTGGTTCTAGCACATCCCAATTAGGCAAGTGGGTAAAGCTTTCCAGGGGTTCTGGGACTTCTAAACGAAACCCCATCCCCAAACAAAACCTAACAGAAGTATTATTTTTATCCTCTCTATCTTCAGACTGAAAACTCCCCCTGAACCAGTTTGGGCAATGACTGTAGCTTAGGGCAATATTAGGCAGAGAAGTTATAAGCTCTAGGGCTAGAAGGAGACATAACAAATCATCTTGTCCGACCTCCTTATTTTATGGAAGAGGAAAATGAAGATCCAAAAGATGATTTTCCAAAGATCGTATGTTTGTTAATTAGAGCCAGAGTTCACACCCAGGGCTTTCGTTCTAAATCTAGTCTCTTGCAGCTACACTGAATTGCCCTCCAAAAGAAGTAGTGTCTCCTTGAGGTGGAGAGGAAGATAGGGCAGTTGAGAGAAAGGGAGGAATATCAGTGAGTGAGTTCACTCCCTTGCATTCTTTTCATGCTAAATGGGCCACTGAGGCAGGAGAGACAGTACAAGAAAAGGTTAAAAGGTGGGAGACTGGGAGGTGGTAAGAGACTTTCCTTGCTTCTCTCTCCGCTGACTTTAAAGTTACCCATGTGAATTACGCAAAGAAAATGATTCAACCTCCCAATCCCTTTGACTCAGAAGTCCTGCTCCTGGACATGCACACCAAAGAAGTCAAAGATAGAAAGAAAGGTCCTATATAGACTGGAGTATTTCTAGCAATACTTTTTGTACTATCAAAGAAATGAAAACAAAATAGATCCCCAGCAATTGAGGAATGACTAAAAAAGATATGGTATAAGAATATAATAGAATAATATTGTGCTGTAAGAAATGATGAACATAATTGTAATGGGGGACAGGGAGGACTGACCAATGAGGACCCAGTCCTTTAAGTGGATGCAGTCTCTTCTGCCTGGTGCCAACCCACAGATATGCTTGGGGAGCCCCTTTCCCAGCCAGTTGTCCTGTTATATAAAGAATCCATGCCCAGAGAAGCCTGTGAAGACTTACATGAGCTGATGAAATGTGAAAGAAGCAGGACAAGATGCCTCTCCCAGGATAAGCTCATCACTTCTGATCTGATCACCATACTACTAACTTGGATATTCAGCCCCTTCTCACCTCCTTCAGCCCTCTCTCCCCTCTGTTTGGAGAGCAGGAGGATGGAACACTAAACTCCACCTAAAGCTTTCCTTCAGAGAGGACAGGACCTGGACTTTGTGACTGTACTTGGGTTCAACTCACTGCAACAACATGGCCCTTCCCTGGGCACCCCTCCCCCACTTTTCAACTTCCTTTGTGTGCTGCCTTTCCCCATTAGATTGTAAGCTCCTTGAGGGCAGGGGCTATCTTTCTTTTTCTTACTTATATCCCCAGTGTTTAGCATAGTACCTGACACATAGGAGGCACTTAATAATGTTTATTGATTTGAATTTGCATATACACATGAAGACAATAATGCGAACAGAAAGAACAGCAACAAAACCCAAATGAAAAGTTCTGTAAATATAACAATCAAATGTGGTCCTGAAGATGAGAGGGAAAATGCTCCTCCTTCTCTTCTTTCCAAAAAGAGGGGGACTACGAATATGGAATACTGCATAAACTGTCAGACTCAGTTTATTTGTTGTGTAGTTATGCTGAACTGCTTTTTTCCCCCTCCTTTTTTTTTTTTTTAAATTACTACAAGGAATGGCTCTTTGGATAGGGTATGGGGAGGCATATATTTAGAAATGAAATTGATATAAAATCAAAGCATATCAATACCATACAAGACATGGAGATTGGCCCTGAGGCAAGGCCAAGTCTGAAGAACCTTCATGTAGTTGCTGCCTTACTGGCACAGGTCACTGGACATTTGTTAGCCTGTCAGCTGAGCCAGTTCAACCTCGAGCGGCACTTTCACACACCCATTTATTTTATTTTTTTTTTATCCAGGGAATGATGCATATTTTTAAAAATTCTGAAATGTGAAATCTATCACTGAGTGCCCTAAGAAGATCACTATGCCTCCTAATTGTAGGACATTTAGATGGCTCAAAATCAACCCCCCCCCCCCCAGGAAGACCTAGACACTCCTGGCTTAGTGGAACCATTCCATAACTCATGTTAAAATAATAGAAACTGAAGTTGAAGCTGTCCTTCTACTTAAATAAATAAATCTACCCCAAATAACATCCTGTTCATGGGGCCAAATCCAAAGTTCATGTAAGCTTTTCTACAGAGATGAATGTAACCCCTGAAGGAGCATAGGGAAAGATATCTTCTAATTCTGACTCAGTGGGGTGTTCTGCTATTGGCCAGTAGTTTCAAAGCTTTTGGGAGGGTTCCAGCCTAATCCTGAGGGTCAAAGTTAAAAAAAGAAGGCTTCTCATTAAATGTGTATTTCTTAAGGAAAGTAGAGGAATGGAAGCCCCACTCTCTGTGGCTTTGTTGATGGAGGTCTGCTTGTAACTAGACAGGAGAACAAGGTACAAAAGCATGGCACTTTGGAATGGCATTCCCACTCATGGGCCATGGGGACCTCCTGGTATTTGTAAGAATTCATACATTTTCCAAAAGCTCAGCTTAACTTCGCAAATGAGAGGAACCAGGCTGACTGTCTCTGAACTCAGGGGAAATAAAACAGAATTACATTCTTGCCTACATTTTTCTGGTTTGGGGGTTAAGTAGCCCAAACTAATAACAGAAACACCTGAAAAGAATGCGTCATTCATTTGAATAAAAGCATTGTTTTGAATTCTAATTCCTAAATGGATGGGTAGCAAATACTGTACAGCTATCACCTGATATATACCAACCCAATATATGGCCATCATAAAGCAGGAAATGAATTCTCCATGTATTACCTCGATACTTGAAGTTATGTAATTTTGAGCTTCTCTATGATTTCTTAATCCATCAGATCAAAATCCCATATATTGGAGAACACTGAGGTGCCTCAAGGGGCTGGCCTGAGCTGGCAGCTTAGGGCTTGCGGATTAACAATTGTCACATCTAAAGATCCCACGACTAAAAGTCAAGAGGAAATTCCTTGTGTTATCAATCCCATAAGGTGGAAGTTCTATATCAAGTTTCTGCATATCAGTGGGAACCAGACCTCATCTTACAGTGAAACCCCAGTAATACATTTCTTTGTAGTTGACTTTTGAAAACATCTGCTTTCTTGGCGGCTCACAGTCCTCCAGCTGCCTGACGGCTATGTTGGAAAATAGAAAGTCAAAGTCAAGGTCACAGAGATTACAGCCAAGCATACAGAAAAATGACATGGGGCATCAGTTTAAAAAAATATATCAATAAACAGCATACATAGAAATTCTGGCTTCCTGATTCAGGATTCCTGCTATGGACCATGCATATTGTCATGAAAAAAAAAGCCTCACCACTTCTGATGAAAGTTGAGGTATGCATCAGCAGGACTATAACCAGGAATTCTGGTGCCTGGGGAAAGGTTGATTAAACAGAGCTAAGAGTTGAAAATTCGAAAAAAATGACTGTAGGGAAACATACACCTCCAGGTATTAGCTATACAGGGCACTCTGTTTGCCCCAACCTAGTTACAGCCCTGTGTCTTTGTCCAACAACAAAACTTAATACTTATTGAGATTAAATGAAATGACATGAAAATGAAAGTAAACTGGCTTGTTATTACTACAAAGTAAATGATAAAGTGAGACCTTTTTCAACTCTAAGATTCTATGAGTTCCGAAAACCAGAATTGGCCCACACCTTCTCCAATCTCTGCATTAAATTAAAAAATATAGACACAGATATATCTTTCTTCTTTGCTAGCATTCTAAATTGGATCCAGCTGCTTCTTTCCCAACACTCTAAAGGGCAAGATGCCTGCTGCGGTTTCACATTCATGCTTCCTTGAATTGTTCATATCTTTCAATGTATCTGTCATATATCCATTATTAGATTGTAAGCTCCATGAGGGTCACTATTCCTTCATTCAACAAGTATTTATTTAGAACTCAAGCTTTAGGCACTGTGCTATGCAATGGAAATACAAAGGAAAAAATAGTCCCTGCCCTTGGAGCTTACATTCTATTGTGGGGAACAACATGAACCCAGATAACTAAATACAAAACATGTATAAAGTAAATTAAATGCAAAGTAATTGCTGCAGAGGAGGAGGAAACTAGAGATTATAAGAAGCAGAGGTAAGTGGGAGTACATTCCAGGCATGGGAGGCAGTCTGTGCAAAATTATGGCGATGGGAGATGGAAGTGATTTTAGGAAACAGTATGTAGACTAATTCAGTTGGAATGTATAGCACAGGAAGCAGAAGGATGTAAAATAAGTCTGGAAAGATGGGAAAGAAGTAGATTGTAGAAGGATTTAAATCCCAAATAGGGTCATTTGTATTTTATCCTAGAGTCAAGAGAGGGTCACTAGTCAAGATTGGGTCACTCGTCAAGAGAGACCATAGCTTCCATCTACTGATACAGAGAGTCAAGAGTTCCCTATTTCAGTTCCTTCATTTGCTTGTACAGTGAAGGTGGCTCTCATCTGCCATAACAGGAAGTTTGCTCACTTATTTCAGAGAAACTAGATATTTGCTTCCTCTCCATTGCAGCCACAAGGTGTTCCCTGCCACCCTGCATATTTCCTGGCATAGTAGCATTGTAGCCTTGGCACCTCTAGGGCTCAGAATTTCCTCTAAATTCTCTATTGCCTGTAAGCAAACACAGAAGCCTAGGAGCACCTTGCACTTGTTACTGGTGAGTTGTTTTTTCAGTCATGTCCAACTCTTTATGTTTGGTGTTTTCTTGGCAAAGATACTGGAGTGGTTTGCCATTTCCTTTTCCACAAGAGCATCTTACTATTTAAAAAATATATAATACATATATATGTATATATGTACATATATGCAAGTATACACATACATACATATATGTGTGTGTATATGTGTATATATGTATATACATATATAATATTTGTGGAAACAGGGTATCATGTATGGAGAACTGGCCTCTGAGTCAGGAAGATCTGAATTCAAATCCCACCTTTGACACATACTGGCTTTTGATTCTGGGCAAGTCAATTAGCTTTTCTGGGTCCCAGACAATTCACAAAAGTAGTAAGTTGCAGAACAATTGAAGATCTGCATTGGGAGAAGGAGCTTCCTCACTAAGAGTTCTCTAAATGAATGAAAAGGCAGGTCTAAATAGCAACAACAGCAAAAATTCACTTGCTGGATTTTTTTTAGGGCTCCTGGATGCCCTTACTGTACCCATAAAAGGATAGCAGGTGGGCTATCTCTGGCTCAGTTTCTCTCTTTCTGAGTGACTCTCCACCATCTGCTATAATGGGAGGTTTGTTCATTTCATTGAAATGAACAAAAGCATCTGGTTCCCATGCTACTTGGTATAGCTTCTTGGCCGTGATGCTTACTTGGCTATGATGCTGATACCAGCAAAGTACCTGAGAAGAATTTTAAAGGTAAAATAAATAGCCATTAGGTTTTTACCTGTTTAAAGCAGGCTTCCACCAGATTGGGAGGGAACATGTTCCTGTGAAGAGAGAAAGGAAATCATTGGGAGAATATCCTGAAAAAATTCAGTTATATTCCTTTACCACCTCTTCATTTGATTTGATTTATGCCAGGTAGTGGGCTGGGGCTGGAGGTAAGGACAAGGAGCTGGGGGGAGATGCCATTGGTGGGGCAAGTGGTCATACCTAGGCAACAAAATTTTAAGTGTCTTTCACATGTAAAGCACTGTGCTGGGTGCTAAAGGGGATACAGTTTAGTTAAGACAGAGCAAGAAGCTTATAGTCTATTAAAGGGCTAAGACACCAAGGCAGATAGCTATAATACATAATATTAATATGATATGATGAGTGCATTAGAAATTTATAAAATAAAGAGATATTTGAGGCAATAGAATCATAAACTTAGAGCTAAAGGGACCAACACTGTCAATTTGCAGGTGGGAAATGAAGGCCCAGAATTTGACTGGAGTGTGGTGTACATATAGAGAAGTATATGAGGTATGACTGAAAAGGTAGGGTGCCATGAGATAGTAGAGGGCCTTGAATGCCCAGCAAAGAGAATGAAAACAACTTCTGTGAGAAATAATATAGAATAGATGACATCTCTGTTGGATTTCAAACCCTTTCCCATCCTCAAGTAGTCTGGTTCACTGAGGTATCAATGTGTTGTGATCACTTTGGCATCATGCCATGTTTGCCTCCTCCCTGAATGAAGGAGGACTCGGGATAAGGAAGTATGACCCTAGACAAATTCCTTTACCTCTCAGGGCCTTGATTTACCTCTTGTGCAAAATGATTGAAGGCCCTTTCTGGCCCTGACATCTGTAATGTAAGACATCTATGAGAGGATGGAGGCTTATATAGAGGACTTGGAGAGCCCATAGTGTGCCATCGGGTACTTTTAAAGGTTATGAACAGTAGTTTGAAATGAACCTTTTTAATTTGCCACCCAATCCATGTGCCAGCATGAGCACCAGGTTCATATCTCTGACCCCTTTTCAATGATCACCATTGCTCTGAATGTTACAATCTGTGCTAGTGTTTCCATGAACGCTAACCACAATACTGAAATCTAGGAGATTACAAGCTTAAAGTTTCAAGTGAAAAGGCTTACGATGACCCTCACTGGAGGTAAAGGAGGAAAGAAATAATTCAAAGTCTTAGCCTTGGGGTGAAGTTCTATTATTAGTTCTGTTATTAGGTACAAGAGCACAGAGAGAGCTGGCAGGTCAGCCTGTTTGGTTTTCCACAGGCAAACATAACATGCTTTATAATTTTCCCCAAAGTTGCATTTGGTATCAGCCCAGAATGGTGAAATGATCTCCTTACTCATGAGGGGGATATGATGATGTAATATTATTATATACAGTCTTCTAAAAAAATACAAACCTGTATTTGGTTCAGTGGAGTGTTAGATTTGATGTCAAAGGTCTTTGATTCAAATTCTGACTACAATTTACTACCTATATGACCTTGAGCAACACATTTAACCCCTCTTGGCCTCAGGTTCCTCATTTATAAAAGGAGAGGGTTGCACTAGATGATTTCTGAGGTGCTTACTATCTCTAAATCTATGATCCTCTAATTAGAAGAGAATTCTAGAGAACGGTGGGAAAATCTATTAACATTATTATTCAGGTCAAGACATTTTGTTGATTTTGTTGTAAACTTGTTGGGAGGAGGACCTAAGTTATGACTATGGTTACCATATTTCCTGAACTCAAAATCAGGACAATAGTTGGTCTAACAAAGGACTTAATCAGTCAATTTAGTTTATGGGGACTAAGCTGAATCTTTGAGATCAAGACTCTCCCAGAATATCTGGGCTTCCCTGGACTGTGGTTCAAATTCAGCCATACTTTAGACACTTAGTCACATGAAATTGGGCAGACTCAGAATAAGGTGCCCACTGTTGATTGGTCCCAGTGGATGCCCATCACATCAGTACTACCATTGAACTATGGATCAGGGAAATCCAGAAAAAGGAACTTTATGGGAAATTCACCACTGGGCTCAGGAACCTGAATAAGAAAGAATAAAGTTGTCTTCAAGACTGTACTGAGAATAGCATGGATAATCAAAGCTCTGGGTAGATATTATGGTGCCACAGACCACATGGGTTCAAGGAGGAGATCCCAGATTCCGGGGAAAGACAATAAATGGATGGGCCACACTTTAGCTAAAGGGAAGATCAAGTTGTCATATCTGATTAGAGAATTTGCCTCAGTAAACAGAAGCTGGATCATGACAAGAAACAAGGTCTAGGATCTGAGGCTATTGAGATCACCACGAGCTAAGTGAAGCAGCTGTGAGAATTTATTCCCAGAGACTAGAAGATCAGGAAGAGAAAATTTTGTAGGCCAAGTAAGGGGGTGAAGGCGTCTTCTTATTTGATGGAGCCAGTGGGGCTAAGAATAGGACCCTGACTAGTTCAAAGCTGAGAGGATTGTGGGTGAAAGAGGCTACTTACAGTCCTGAAGCCAAGGGGAGGCGGTGCCATCTGAGGCCTGAGATTCTCATACTTGGAACTAGACTGAGAAGTATATGTTGTTTCTCAGCATAGAAGGGTAGAGAAACATAACAACTTTGACCAACCAAATCTATCATGTTATGGTATAAATAGAATTGGATTGAGAGTTAAAAGATTTGGGCTCAAGTCCAGACTCACCCACTGACTGCCTGTGTGATCATGGGCAAGTATGTTAACTTCTCTGGGCTTTAGTTTCCTCATCTGTAAAATGAGGAAGCTTGACAAGATTGCTTCCATGGTTCCTTCCAATTTTGTACCTATGATCCTATGATCCAATCAGTTGAAAATCTGAGTGATTGATCTAGCTTCCAGCCCAAACAGGATTGTGCTTCTGAGGACAAAATCTTAAAGAAATGGTTTTTAGCAGAGGTGTCAAATGTGGCCATGGGTCACATTTAGCCCTAAAATGTAATTGGGAAATATTTAAAAAAATTTAACATAATGTTAATATGTGGTTTTCTAAGTTAATATTGGACCACGGGGATCCTTGTCTAGGTTAAATGGCCCCCATTTCTATTTGAGTTGATAAACACTGGTTCATAAGATGATAGATGTAGACTTAGAAAGGACATTACAGGTTACATAGCCCCCTCCTTTTACAGATGAGGAAAGTGAGGTCTAGAGATGTCAAATGACTTGCTCAAGAAGTCACACAGCTAAGAAGTGGGAGAGCTGGGATTCAAACTCAGGTATTCTGGCTCCAAATTCAGATCGTTTTCCATTGTACCATGATATCTCTTCAGTCCAATAGGAGAAGGAGAATAAGGAAAGAACAAGGCCTAGATTCTTGTACCTTCATATAGGACTAAGATTATTGAGATATCTGTATGTCTGTATTCTTTTTCTTGTCCTGTTACTTTTTAACTTCTAGGCTTCCCTGTTGTGTTCCATAGAAAAAGTAAAGAAGGCTTGCATGCTGTTTGCAGGGAGCCGGTCAAAGGAATAGGGAAAAGGCTACATCCTCTCTCAAGGGCAAAGCTGGGCATCTGTTTTAATTGGAGAGGTGGTGACAGAGAGATACCAATAGATGACACTGGTGAGTCAAGAACTTAGCCTCACCAATGGTCCATAGCCAGACATGCCATACCCTGCCTTTGTTGACTGATAAGAGTCACATGTAATCAGCAGATCATATATACATGGATGCTACTGAAGTCCTTAAAAACTGTTATCTTCTAGGCATGCCTCATGTATTTGGATCCCATACATGGTACATTACTAATTTCCTTAGGTAAGACCTTCCTTCAAAAATAAAACAAAGGTCAATTTCAGCCTTGCCCAAATGCCATCATCAGAGATTCATACTTACCAGCAAACTTATGAAGTTTCATTGTATAAATATGTACGTGTGAGTACGGGGAAGACGAAACTCCTAGATATCCAAAAAGGGGATTCATAGGTGAAAATGGGAAAGAAGGTACTCTACAAATATAAGAAGGTTCATAGCTTTAGAGCTTAAGAGGACCTTAGAGTTTATCTAGAATATTTAACCTTTTTTTTGTTTCATGGACCCCTTCGGCAGTCTGGTGAAGCCTTTGGACCCCTTTCTCAGAATAATGTTTTTAAATGCATAAGATCACAAAGGAAACTAATTGTTTTGAAATACAGTTATTAATATATATATATATATATATATTTAAAAATCATGCTCATGGACCCAAGGTTAAGAACTCCTGAGCTAGTTCCAAGACATTGAGCCACTTGCCCAATGTCATAATAAGTAGCAAAAGTGGAATTTGGAATAGGATGATCCAATTATAGACTTTGAAGTCAGGGCCCGCCTTCAACTTGATTTGTCCAATGTATCTTTATTTCATTAGAGGAGTGGTTTGGGTGGAGAGAAAGAGAAGAGAGAAAAAGAAAGAATGGCATGTCAAAAAGATGTTTCACATGAAAAGTGGCATCACGTAGCCTTTCACACATGTCCAGTCCTCATCCAGGTTTTGATCCTGGGAAATAAGAGAGGTCTTGTGTGATACCACATACACACGGGCTTTGTTGCAAGGACATACCTGATCAAGTCAAGGAAGGCGTCTGCAGCCGTCACTTGCACAATTTTGCCTTCTCTGTGCATGTTCTCCTTTGAGCCTTTCCCAGGATGAATGATGATGACAATGATTATGCCAATCACCACAGCAATGATTGTTGTGGTCATGTAATAGACCACTGCTCTCATTCCCATCTTCCCTGAGGCCTTACTATCTAGGGCAGCCATCCCTGGTAAAGGCAAACACAAGGAGATTTGTTTTAAAGAATAAATCAACTGAATGTTTCTATGGGAAGACAATTAGGAGCTCTCCTCCCCCATGTTCTCCCTGCTCCCTAATATCGGGACTTGGATCATACGTGCTATGAGGTTTTGGTCTCCCACCTAATCAAAACATGGACAAAATGATCCAGTTATATTAGGCTCAAAGAGTAGGTCAGCATCAGTTGGCTCAAAGAATGTACCAACCATTTTTCCTTCCTGTTAAGTAGATTCCACATCTCTGAAGTTAGCCCAAATAAAAATCCGATCTTCAGTAATGCTGGGCTGGGACAAGGAAAGTACAATGAAATTCTTTCACAGGTTACTACTATTTAATGAAGGGAGGGTGGGTATGTGAAAGTGTTACTAAGTTCTTGGCAGAATGGCCTAGGCTTCCCTTCAGCCCAATATTGGGCTGATTTAAGCAGATTGAGTATTATTAACTTCCTTCAAAATGGGTACCACTGTATGTATAAATGCTTTCTGCATATTTTGAGCTTCTATTCCATTAATCACCTGCTGACCTAACTGCAATTCAAATAGATGGATAACCAGGTTTCAAGCTTAATTCCCTCTGCCAATCTTCACTACCCCTGGTACTCTGCTGCTGGTAACCTAGACAATCTGTTCCATAGATTGGGTCTCCTCTCACTCCACCTCCTGGTTCACAGTACACAATGGTGAGAACTCCTTTGCCACCTAACAAACTAATTAACTAGAGCAAGATCACACTTTCTCTTTGGACCTCAGTTTTCTCATAAGGGGTTTCAATGAGATAATTTCTAAAGTCCTAATCCTAGCATTCTATAACTCTTAACTTTTACCCTCCCTTGATTTCCAACTCCTGTCTTTAGATTCCACTTCTGGCAGGAGGCCATTTGCATGAGGAAGGGTGGGCTAGGACTCCAAGGTTTTTCAAACTGCCCTAGAATACAGGATGCACTCTAACTAAAAGATAATGGAAACAAAATAAACAGAAAGTTTGAAATAATCATAAAAACTAAGGACTGATTATTTGCATGTAGGATCTGTATGAAATTAAGGTGTCAAGACATCTTTGCTGATTACTTCCTAGAAGGAGGGACCATGCTATGTTTTGTATACAATGGGCATGTATAAAACAGCTATTAATGTTTCCAAAGAACTGTCAATGTTATTGGTTGCCTTCTATCCACTCTTCCTTCTTCCTTCCTTCTGAGTCTGAGAGTCTCACAAAAATATTAGAACCACTTTTCTGTTCAATTGCATTTCCTTTTGTTTCCTAGATTCAGTATGTTAGAGCTAGAATAGCCCAACATCCTCATTTCAGAGATGAGGAAAATTCTTGATTTTATTTTTTACGAATGTTATCAAGATCTTGTGCCATGCCAAAATATGAACACTCCTGAGAGTAGTGGATCCTGAAAGCCCCTAGAGGATGAAGCTGAGGGGTACAGAAACTATATCATAAGGAGATTAGTTGAAGGAAGTAGGGATACTTAGCCGGATGAAAAGAAGATAACAATTGTTTCCAATCATTTTGAAGAGTTGTTATCATTTGAGAGATTTCATTTGTTTTGCTTAGATCCAGAAATTATAGTACTAGATGCAATGGGTGGAAGTTATAAGGAGGTAAAATTCTGCTCAACATAAGGAAAAATTTCCTAAAAATTCAAGCTGTCCCAAAGTAGAATGATTCAGTTCCAGATATAATGAGTTCCTTGCCCTGGTAGGTCTTTAAGCAGAGGCTAAAAGAGCCCTTCTTAGGGCCATTGTAGGTGACATATGTGTTTCGGTTAAGCATTTTAACATGACTTCTGAAGTCCTTTTTACAATTTAATATATAAGTATGAAAAACATTTGGGCTAAGCACTGAAAAAAAAGGTTTAGAATAAAGGTGTTGAGCTGTCTGTAAATCTCTCTCCACTTGTCTGCTTCTCACAACTCTTACAACGAAACGAAATTGATGACCAAAAATTGTTGAATCTTAGGGACAGGCTTTCTGGGGTCCTTCCTGATATCTGTCACCATCTTTCCTCTACCTTCAGGCTAATCTCCTGTGACATTGTTTCTAGTCCCTTCATTATTATATTATGATCACCTTCCTTTCAGTACTCTCAGGAGTGTCCCTATTGATCATTCTGACTCAGAATAAACTCCTAGTAACATTTATAAAAATAAAATTAAGTATTTTCTCCATCTGTAACCCTTACATGTAACTCTAATATCACTAGGGTTTTCAAGGATGGATTCATAGAGAATCATAGAATTCTAGAGCAGAAAGGGGCTTTAAAGATCATCTAATCCAGTGGTTCTCAAATTTTTTCATCTCAGACCCTTAAAAATACTTTAAAAAATTATCAAGGACCCCAAAGAGCTCTTGTTTGTGTTGGTTTTATAAATATCATCTTGTTATTATTATGAAAGTAGTTTTGGCATTATGGACAGGGGTCTGCAGACCGCATTGAGAACCTCTGGTCTCATTCAACCCTTGATAGATGAGGAAACTGAGGCCTAGAGAGGTAAAATGATATTTTTTTTTCATTTTATCATTCCTTTATGACTAACACTACCCATTCACAAGATGGAATGAAGGGAAAATAACAGCTTTCATGAGAACTAAAGCCGTGACCTTGGCTTCATCAGTGGGCATACACCAACTCATTGAGCTAACCAGTCAGTTACTATTTAAAGGAGAAAGAAAATATTAGCTGCAAGTCCTGAACTGGGCCCCTTTCATCCTTGCCCACTCTTTCCTGAAACCCAGGAGAAAATTTAATTATCCCACCACATGCACCAATTCATTAGGTTGGTGCCAATTTACAGCAGTTCACCATGCAATCAAAAATGGTCCAGTCTGTGTTCAACCCAAATCCCAAGTCTGCAGCTTTGACCTTCCACCCCTTCCCTTTTCATTTGTTGGTCTGAATCACAACTTGAACTATCTCTGCTTTCCTGCCCTTGCAGTGAAGAGTTTCCGTGGCTGTTTGTTTCCTTTGGTGCCTAAATTGTTCACCCTTGGAACAAGAATTCTTTAGTTCTTTCGTGTTGGTCTGGCACAGTGGCATCAGCAACACAATAGGCCGGATGTCTCTCATAAGTGAGACCAAGCAGCAGCATTTTCTTTTTCTTTAGCCTCCTATTTTGTGCTCTTGTTCCGGTCTCATGTTAGCTCTTCCTCCATGGCTCTGCCCTTCCTTCAATGTTCTCTCTCTCTTCCCCCTCCCAATCCTGACCTACAGCTACTCAAAGAGAGAGCTGTGTGTCTAAGACGGTTGCATTCAAAAGAAGATGTTCCACAAAGGGTGAAATTAGAAAGCTCGAGTTAGAAGAGAAAGGGGAAGATGCTCCAGGAAAGGAAACAAAAAAAGTCTATCCAAACTCTGAGTTATTTGAGGATGGTATTTTTTGGGGACATGGATGGCTTTTAAAAAATGAAGACCAACTTGGGAGCACGCTAGTGAGGGGTGTGGCATTCTTTTCTCTGTCTACTCTTTGGGTATGAAATAGCTGAAGGATGAATGAATCTCTAGAAGCCATGCTGTAGGAAACACTGGATTCAGGTCAGAAGACTTGAGTTTGAATCTTGACTCTACTCCTTACTAGCTGTGTGATCTTGTGCAAGTCACTTAACTCTTTTGAGCTCTGGTTCCCTCATCCATAAAATGGAAGCGGTCAGACGAGAGTGCCTCTAAGATCCCATCCCAGCTTTAAATCCTAGATCCAAGAGTACCTTTCCAACCTAAGATTTGGGCAAAGTGGCACAGTAGATAGAGCACTGCGCCTGGAGTCAGGAAGACTCATCTTCCTGAATTTAAATCCAACCTCAGACACTTACTAGCTGTGTGACCCTGACCGAGTCACTTAACCTAGTTTGCTCAGTTTCCTCATCTGTTAAATCAGCTGGAGAAGGAAATGGCAAACTACACTAGTATCTTTGCCAAGAAAACTCCAAGTGGGGTTACAAAGAGTCAGACACGGCTGAAATGACTGAACGGTATGTATTCAATTAGCAGGCTAGGCAAATTCCCTTGGTGCCAGTCTACTGAGTAAAGGGTCATGGGGTGGAACTACCAGGAATATGGGCTCTAGGGGATCAGGCTTTCAGGAACTAACAGTGTCTTAAGTAAATGTCACATGAGGATAGAGGAAGAGCTGGGCAGCTAGTGTCTCATATTCCTTCCCTGTAAGACTAAAGACCCCCATTTTTATTTTTGAGTATGAACTCAAATTTTTCTTCTTACTCCCCGTTGTTACCTTGGCCCACCTCTCTGGGCTTCAGTTTCCTCATCTCTAGAACCAGTGGAGCACATTATATAATCTCAAAGGCCCCTTATTTGCAAAATGAGGGAGTTGGACTAAGTGTTTCCAAAGTCTTTTCTAGCTCTATATCTATGATCTTAATCAGATAAGAAGTTTCTTTAAATCCTGTAATGGATGTATTACGCATGTATTGCTTTTCATTTAAAAAAAAATGATGCTACTTAAATAAAATTGAATTTAAATCCTTTCAAAAATTGTATCCACTGCTTTAGCACAGTGTCTGACCACACAGTAAACACTGAATCAATGCTTTTTCATTTTTTCATTCAAAAAGATGATATATGAATGCAGATTATGTGGCATTGGGGAAAAGAATCCTAGCTTTGGTGGTCAAATCCCAGCTCTGTTACCTGCTACCTTGTGACATTAGGCAAAGCACCTGACCTCTTGTGGCCTTGGTCTTTTTCATTTCTAAAGTGACCCCTTCCAGCTCTAAATTCTATTCTTCCAGGGCCCTCAGCAGCAATAATAAAGCTAGCTAAGAGGCCTCAGCAGTGGAGGGAGGAGCCAGTAAGAGCTGCCACGGTCCCAGTCAAGGCAGAGGCCATGGCAATGTATGTGTTTCTTTATTAAGCCAGTCTGAAGTTTTCTCCCATGGGGTGGTTGGTTCTCACTACTGATTTTGTTACTGGTTGCTCTTCTCTCTGTCTCTGTCTCTGTCTGTCTG